CTCCGGGCAGACAAAATTTGACGGCCGGGGGATGACGATCGGGTGAGGATCATGTCTTGGGATTTGGTTCTTGGCGAGAAACCCGATTCGTGTCTTTCGCACAACTTGATTGTCCATAACGGCGGTACATCATCCAAAAAGGACAATGCCCCCAGCTCTGGCCGGCACCTACCTGAGGCGAGGGCCAGTAGGAAGACTATTTTCCACGTCAAAAATTTGAGTGGTGCTGATCGGAAAGGCTCAAAGGGCGGTCTGCTTAGAGCAGACAACACAGCCGACAAGTGCCAGTTGGGCGGCTCCCTTGTATGGGGTCTTGGCATCTGGAAAGCAGTAAATAGTCTCCTAGGACAATCGGCTAGTCTTGTTCCCCTACGTTTTGAGTGGTGGGGGACAAGGCCGACCTGTAACCAACGATCGCTGCATAGGACAAACCCACTTCGTCAAACAGGTGGACGAAGGAGCCTGCTACCTGGCCAATAGAGGGATGGTATGGATCAATCTCCCTTCCACTACACCAATCAGTGTATGTTCGCAGCCTAGAAATGTAGTTCGCGTTGGTGGAATCCCTGTTCGCCCTGGCCAGGACGTTGGCAGCCCGCTCAGATAAGGCTTTCGTATATGCGGGTCTACTGAGAGCCTCTATGCGTGTAAGTGATACCTGCTGGGCTCGTTGGTAGTGCGCCGTCTATTTGGGGCGGCAGGTCCGGTAAGTCCGGAAGCACTGCTGGTGTTTCGGACAACTAGCATTTCCAACAGAAGTGGAAACTAGGCCTTGCTTGGCCAATCGGGTGCGACCAATGATAATATGCAGGTGTGCCCCCTGTCGAAGTTTTCTCCAGTGTCCGGTGAACTAGCGGGAAGGGAGGAAAGGCGTACACAACTAAGTGGGTCCATGGGGTTAGCAAAGTGACTCTGGCCCAGGCTCTGGAGTCAGCAGGAGTGTTACGTACGCCGGGAGCTTGGCATTCCGGGGTGTGGCAAACCGGTCCAACCTTGGACCGTCCCACAGGTGAAACAGCCTGGAGGCTACCCACTGGGGTATCAGCCACTTCGTGTTCTGGAGATGGAGCCGTCCTGAAAGGGTGTCGCCAGACTGTTCCTCACCCCTGGAAGGTGGTGTGCGGTTAGCTCCACATTGTATTTCAGGCACCAAAGGAGGATTTGCTCCGCTAGGACTGACAACGATGGTAAATGCATCCCCCCCCTTCTTCTTAAAGGAGACCACCGCTGCATTGCCTGTGCGGAGCAGGACTCTGTGGTCTCGAACTACGGGTAGAAAACGCGGTAGTGCTAAGTACACTGCTCTCAGTTTGAGCTGGTTGATATGGTAGTCCTGAAACTAATGCGGGGGCCATATCCTTGGGCTTGTTGGTCCAACAGATGCACTCCCCAACCCGGGGGGGGGGGGGGGGGTGTCTGTTACCAGAGTCATACCTGCGGTGAGCGGGTCCAAGGGGCCCCTCTGCCCGAGGTTGGCCAGTGACGACCACCAGGGCAGGGCTTCCTTCACTTGGGCAGAGACCAAAACCCGCCTATCTAATTCCCATAGAAGAGCTTGGCATTATAACAAGCGTTATATCGGGCGGCTGCGTAGTGCGGCCTGGGGAACGACCCTTTCAACTGAGGTCATCATTCCGATGATCCACATTAGTTCTCGGAGGGACACTGAGGGAACGCTGACTAGGCATTCGGCTAGGCTGCTTAGCGCTAAAAACACGTTTGAAATAGCTAAGCTAAGCTTACCTCTGTGTCAAAACTCCATGCCCAGAGACACCAACTGTGCGTTGGGTCAAGGTGGGACTTGTCGATTTACTAACGAGCCCAACTGGTGAAGTAAATCCTTGCCCGGGTTGTTAGTAACCAGTAGTCTGGGTACTGATTGAGGTGTACCGACATGTGGTGAAGCAGCAGCACTACCTGTTACATCACTCGGGTGAACAT